TCACCCCACTCCCCCTGGCAGGGGTCTGGGCAGTTGGGGGTTCAGGGTATCCATCATTTGGGGCTCTCAAGGCTGAAGATAACCCATGTCAGACGCTCCATGGTCCTAAAGGCCAGGGTCCGTCCATTTCCACTTCTGCTCTGTGACCCTGGACAGGTTCCTCTCCCACTCAGGGTTCCACTTTGGTCAAAAGGGACCCATAACACCATCTTTTCCGTTGCCTCAGGGACACCTAGTGCCCTGAGGGCAGTGGTCCAGGGCAGAGAGTGGCAGCTGTTTTCACTGGATGAGCCCTTCTTGACACTGGGGGAGAAGGGACACCTCTGACCCTGACCCCAACTTGGCCCTAACTTCCTGAAGCCAGGCCATGCGCAGTCACTCACCCAGGTGCAGGGCCCTGAAGTGTGTCCGGCTTGAATCCTGTCCCCAAACATAAGGGTTGTCAATCCCAGCCTCTCTGCTCATGGGGAATAGGTCGGCTTTGCTCTGTGAGTGAAGGATGGAGAGAGTATTCTGGGTCCCACGCTTCCGAGATCTAAAAGAGCTTAAACAAGCCCGTGAGCAAGAAGAGGTGGGGTAAGATAGGTGGCCCAGAAGCACAAGGACCTTTCTCCAGAATAGAGGGTGAGCCTTTCCTTGGAGCCAGCAGCCTGAACTGTAGACTTCTGGCCTCCTAAACTGTGAGAAAATAAATTTCTGTTTCCGGAAACCACCCTCTTGTGAGGTTTCTGTCCCAGCAAACCCAGGAACCAGGAGAATGTGTGATCACCAAGTGGCTCTGGGAGCCCAGGCAGCACCTCCTTACTCTGACCGACTCACCAGCTGCCAGGCAGGGAGAGACTTTAGGTTGTCTGAGGGGACATGAGGGACTGGATGTTCAACTTTTCTCCAGTTAGTCCTACAATGGTCCTGGGCAAATTGCTTAACCCTTTTGAGCCTCAATTTCCTGAACCCTAACTCTCAAGATTAAACAGGCACGGCAGCCATCAGAGGAAGGAGTCCTGGCAGTGCAGTGGGGTAAGCATTGGGCTGCTAACCCCAAGGTCTGTGGTTCAAACCCACCAGCTACTCCACAGGAGAAAGGTGAAGTGATCCTGGGAAGATGTACAGCCTCGAGAAATTCTAGAAAAAGGTCATTTGAATAGGACTTGATCTGGTGGCAGTGGGTTTGATTTTTTTTTTTAAAGATCATTTTATTTGGGGCTCTTACAGCTCTCGTAACAATCTATACATCAATGGTCTCAAGCGTATTTGTACATACGTTGCCATCATTATTTTCTAAACATTTACTTTCTATGTGAGCCTTTAGTATCAGCTCCTCTTTTTTCCCTCTCTCCCTGAGTTTGAATTTTTAACCTCTAGAGAAAATTGAAATGTGGGCACCCATCCTGAGGGGCCTCTGTGTCCCCATGCACAGCAGAATTTCGTAAGCATGTGTTACTATGATCCAAGGACTAAATCCATTTACATCTCTAACTGGCATGTACGCACAAAACCACATGTCCTCTTCCTACATGTGATGCTCTCAGATTTTTTTTTTGACATGGAACGCTTCACGAATTTGTGTGTCATCCTGGCGCAGGGGCCATGCTAATCTTCTCTGTATTGTTCCAATTTTAGTATATGTGCTGCCGAAGCGAGCACTCTCAGATCTTTTTGATTCCATTTTATCTCGACAAAAGAAAAGCTGATCTTGATTGTCTCACGTGGTTTCATGACCCTCTAGTGGACCTCATTTTGTA